GAAGCGGTTCCTAAACCACGGCGGGTTTTCCTTTTTCCAGGGAAAAATGCAGATCTTCGTCAAGACCCTGACTGGCAAGACCATCACCCTTGAGGTCGAGCCCAGTGACACCATTGAAAATGTCAAGGCCAAGATCCAGGACAAGGAGGGCATTCCCCCAGACCAGCAGAGGCTGATCTTCGCAGGGAAGCAGCTCGAAGATGGCCGTACCCTGTCTGACTACAACATCCAGAAGGAATCTACCCTGCATCTCGTGCTGCGCCTGCGCGGTGGGATGCAGATCTTCGTCAAGACCCTGACTGGCAAGACCATCACCCTTGAAGTCGAGCCCAGTGACACCATTGAGAACGTCAAAGCCAAGATCCAGGACAAGGAAGGCATCCCTCCTGACCAGCAGAGGCTGATCTTCGCAGGGAAGCAGCTCGAGGATGGCCGTACCCTGTCTGACTACAACATCCAGAAAGAATCTACCCTGCATCTCGTGCTGCGCCTCAGGGGTGGCATGCAGATCTTTGTGAAGACCCTGACTGGCAAGACCATCACCCTTGAAGTCGAGCCCAGTGACACTATTGAAAATGTCAAGGCCAAGATCCAGGACAAGGAAGGCATCCCTCCTGACCAGCAGAGGCTGATCTTTGCTGGCAAGCAGCTGGAAGATGGCCGTACCCTCTCTGACTACAACATCCAGAAGGAGTCAACTCTGCACCTTGTCCTGCGCCTGCGGGGTGGTAACTGAACCAGCAGTTGTTCCAATTAAAGGTTCCCTGCACTTGTTCATTCCAATAAAGCTGTTGCATCTGTAAAAGTCTGTGTCCCATGTTACACGAGCAGTTGTTCGTGACATTGCCCAACCCCAGGTTTCTAATAAACAATAATTACGTAGCTTTCCACAGACAAAGGGCTTGCAAAACTGCCTTATGCAAGCAAGGCTTCCACATTCCTGGTGATTGTAGCTAATCCCTCAGCCGTGCTTTTCCTGGGGTTGTGTAAGTGCTCTGATACCTGGCTGCAGCTCAGTGCCCGCCTGCAGATGTTGTGCAGCTGTGGTGTTGCGCAAGCAGGGATGTGCATTGGGGAGCTGTGCATGCTCCCCAGTCAGAGGGCTTTGAGATAGCTCTTGGTTGCCCAGCAACTGCCTTTTATTTTGGGATTGGTAACAGGATGGTCCTGCAGCCCTTGGGCTGGGAAGGTGGGATGGGAAGTGCTGATCTCATCAGTAACGGGGTGGACTTGTTTTTTTGTCAAGCTTAATGGCATTAAGCAAGCAGTAGTTTCAGATGTACCTACTGGAAACGTGAATGTGCTTCATTCCAGCTGTGCCCCAAATGGAAATGCTGAGCTGAGCTGTCACCCAGCAGTTCCTGTGTGCTGCAGAAGCCCTGGCAAAAGGGAAGTTGCCTCTGAAGTATTTGTGGGAGTTGCAGCAGGGCTGATGAGTTAACCATGGCTGTTCTGGGTGTGTGGAGAGGAAAAGGGAGAGTGACACAGAAATGCTCTTCCAGGAGTGGTGACACGGGCTCACCTGTGGAAGGGGATGTGGTGGGAGCTGAAGGGTCTCTGCTGGTGGCTGGTTCAGGGGACCCGAAGGGATCCCGAAGGGATCTTGCCCTGCCTGGGTGGGGTAGCAGGGTGTGGCTCCAGTAACACCAGTTCCTTTCGCTAGTCCGGCCTGTACAGAGCAAGTTCAGAGCACCAAGGTCTGTGCTGTGCCGGAGGAAACATTTGAATGCTAAAGAGCTGAATCCCGTGTGGGTGGGAGCTGGAGCTGTGCCATCCTGGACATCCTGTTCTCCCCCACAGGAGTGCCTCGGGCTCTGCCCACGCTGCCCTGGCTCCTGGGCTGAGCCCCAACAACTGCAGGGAGCAGCTGGCCATTGTGTGGGCTGGCTGTCCTCTGGGACAGCAGAATCCCCAAACTGAGCATCTGAAACACGAGTGCAGGGCAGCCTGTCTGGAATGCAGGGAGCATAACTGCACGTGGTTCTGATTTGAAGGCACCTGACTGCCACTGGGGAGAGCTGCAGGAGGACACAGGGTGTTTGATAGTGTCAAAGCCTCCACAAATGACTACGTAGCCATGCTTTGAGAAATCCTTTTATTTCAATGTCTCAGTAACAAACCTTTACAATGTCCTATTTAAAAACCCAATGCTGTAACAGCCTGGAGCAGGCTGCAGCAGGCAGAGCAGCAAGCCTGGAGGAGAAACCTGTGCTGTGGCCTCGTGAGCAGGGTCAGCCTCTGCTGACCACACAGGAGTGGTGGGAAGTTGTGCCAGGAGGGTTGGAATGGGTGTTAGGGAAAAGTTCTCCCACAAAGGGAGGGCTGAACATCCTGGGGCTGGCCACAGCACCAGCCTGCCACAATCCAAGATGAGTTTCGACAGCACTCTCAGGCCCATGGTGGGATTTTGGAGCTGGTCTGTGCAGGTTTTTGACTCGATCCTCGTGGCTCCCTTCCAGCCCAGCACATTCTACAGTTCTGTGACCTCTGCAGGGTTTGAGGAACCTCAGGGCTCAGTGTGGCAGTGCCAGCGCTCCAGAGGCAGCACCCGTGAGCAGAGACCACAGCTGGGGTGGGATCAGCCATGCAGCAGCAAAATCTGATGAGAACAGCAAAGCCTGTTGTCAGCTTTAACGGTGTTTTGTTCAAACCATGGCAGAACACGCCGTTCTGAGATCTTCTCACAGTCGTGTTGTTCTGCAGCGCCTCAGGGAATCTCCTGGATTTTATTGGGAAATTTGGGGATTAAAAAAAATCCCTTTCACTGTGTTTCTTTGTAAAAATATGTCTTTAAAAAGTAACAGTAAATCCAGTGCCTACTTTGTGCTGTTCTGAAGGCATTGCTGCTGGGAGAGGGGGCCCATCCCACACCAGAGACCAGCCAGGATTGAACAGAGACGTTGGTTAATTGACCTGGTAATTAAACTGGCAACTATCAGGGTAAAAGGTTTAGAAGGGGAAAAAAAAGGGCCCAATTCAGTGTAAAGATACAAATGGAAATGTTCCACTGAGGTGGGGGCCATGGCAGGAGGTGGCAGCCATGAGATTGTCCCCTCTCTGTGCAGGACAGTGTGTGGCAGGTGGAAGCACTCCAGCTGCCAGATGTGTTTGCTCAGCTGGGACAATGGGATGTTGCACATCATTGATTTAAAACAGGCTGTCACAAACTGGACTCTTTATTTTCTGCTGCCTTCTGGATGCTTCTTGGGATGAGTCTCAGCGAGGCTTTTATTCAGGGCCATGTTCAGATGCAGAAGATGGAAAAAAGACTCGTTTTTTTTGGAAAAGCAGAGTTGGGTTACACGGAAAAACAGAGGCAGGTTAATGGGTGATGGACGCTTACTCCTCAGGCAAGACATACATATATATACATACACACATGAATAGAAACATGGTTTATGTCTTTTTTTTTGTCGAGTGACAGAACAAGAAGGAATGACTTCAAACTGAAATATATATACATATACACATGAACACAAGCACGTTTATGTATTTTTGTCTAGCATGTAATGACAGAACAAGAAGGAATGGCTTATAAACTGGAAAAAATAGGTTTAGATCAGATATTAAGATAAAAATCTTTACTGTGGTGATGGTGAGGCACAGGGACATATTTCCCAGAGCAGCTGTGGCTGCCCCTGGATCCCTGGCAGTGCCCAAGCCCAGGTTGCATGGGCTTGGAGCAGCCTGGGACAGTGGAAGGTGTTCCTGCCCACGGCAGCAGGTGGAACGAGATGATCTTTAAAGTCACCTCCAACGCAAAGCATTCTATTCTACAATGGCATGACTGAGGGATATTTTATCTGTCTATATATTTATTTATCCATTTCGTCTCAGTATTTTACCGTTGTGCCCTTTTTCCCGTGCGCACACACGAGTTTACATTGACGCTCGC